AGGAGAAGTAACAAGTCCCTTGCTATAAATACATTTCGCGTGAGACGTAGAAGCCAGGTGACCTTTAACCTCGAAAGGCAGACGGCCTGAAAGCAGAGTTCTCTATAGAACCTGAGAGACAGTTTGGTGGCATATATTTCGGGGTCGTGGCCCACTTAATCGGGCAAAATGTGCTGCCTGTGTCCCTATTCGATCCCTTTCGAAGGTCATAAATCATCGGAATAATATACAGAAGACCAATTCGAAAAACATCTCAATAAAATACAAATGCAGTAGTTCACAAAAATACTTAAACTCTCTCTTTCCCCCTCTTTTTTTTAACCAAAATACTTTATTTTAAGAAGATGAAATGAATCCTCGAAGTTTCACGATTGTGTTCGAGACAAAGCAAAATTTTAAATTACAAAGATTGCAGGATTTAAGGAAAATTAGAAGAAAAATTTCTAGCCAAAAGAAACTTTCAAGAAACTTTTCATAAAAGTATTATCTCGCTACATTTATAATTTATTGTGCCCCATTTAAATCAGATTGGATGAATTTCCCTCTAAGATTTAATGTGTTCAAATAGTTTCGTGGGCATACATTCGTCGCCATACAATCTGTGTACCACAAACGTCGACCTACGGTATGCCTAGTCGATCGTAGCAGTCGACTGACCCGATTATATTTTCTGCTATTGGAGCACACTACCAATTTGGTAAGTAAGCTATTCATCGTTTTCACTCTTTCCATTTGGAATTTGATCAAGGTACAATCGTGATTTGGTGAATAGCCGATGGTAAAGATGTAAAAGGTGAACCTACTTTGATAGATTTGGATGTTAGAAAGTTTGAGAGGAAAGAGCTGTTTGAGATTCCGCCTGGAATACAGATTTTTCTATTCTTTTTTTCCCAACGATTCCAAGGATTTAACTTTTTTTAACACGAATATTCAAGAAATTCTAAATCTTTAAAATTACAAGCGAAGATATTTCGTATAAAAGCGTCAATTATTTTATCTACTAAAAAAAAAAAAAGAAATAGAAGGATATAGATAAAATAAAAAAAAGACAAATAAATTGAATCATCTCGTAGACTCGATATTGTATACAACCGCGTGCCGTGGAATCGTACAATAGTAGAAGAACGTTATTAAATACGATAATTAAGAACATCTGTCGTGATGGCGGTCGAGAATTTTACGTTCTTCACGGTTGTAAAAATGTCAGTTTCTAAGAAAGGAAGGAAGTGAGGCCGTATCGATCGACCGGTCTTTATGAACGTCTTACGAGCACGGCCAAGAGGCACGAGGGCGTCGTCTTCCGGTTTTGCGAGGCCATTTTCCGAGCGTGGCCCTCGCGTGCTTCCTCGTGCCTCAGCTTTATGCGTTTACGATTATTGACACGGCACCTAAATTGCCCGTCATAATTGTGTCTAGCTAGAAAGTATATTTATCTTTATGACCGTTTCCTCAAGTTATTCATTTCTCAGATTAGATTTATGCAGTTTGAACTTGCTTAATCTTCGTGGAACAGAAGAATCACAGAAGAATGAACTCGATATTTTAATGTTTCAACAATAAATAACCAGCTTAAACGTCTATCAAAAATTGAATCACAAGCCAGAAAAACTCAATACTATATATACCTTCGTGAAATTAAATAAACTTGATCGAATAACCCTAGTCGAATAAAACTCTCTATCTATTCTATACTATATGAGAATATATAAATGAGAAAAACAAGCTAAAACTGTCCTTCGAAAGAGTCGAATAACGATGTTAAAGCTCGAACTAAAAACGAAAAGGACAAAGGAAATTTCTTCATCGTGCCTCTTCGTGTTCCTTACCATTTAGCGGTCGCTTCAAACGCTTATATCTTCAAACATTCCAGGTATAATACAACGGGTATTCTTCACGACATCGTACACTAATCGTTCTCAATGTCATCCATCCCATCCGAGTGGAAGGGAAATTTCGATCGTCGAAATATCCCATTCTTCCTTCCTTCCTTCCTTCCTTCCTTCCTTCCATCCATCGAACGACAAAAATTCACGAGGCCGTGCGAGCGAGGACGAAGGGACAACAAGGAGGATCGCCTTTGTTCGCCTTTACCGACCCAGAAACCCGATTCTTTCTTCCTCTTCTTTTTCCTTTTCTCTCTCTCTCACACACACATACACATACTCTCTTTTCCCTCTTCTCCTCTCCACCGATCGTCTATACGTACGCGCACGAGCCAGTTTTCGCGGAGGCCTCGTTAGTGAAAGTTACCACCTCTAGTGGGGGAGAAAGTGAAAGCCATTTCCGGGATAAACGGTGACCGCCGACCGATCAAATTATATCAACGAGGCGGACTGATATTAATGGCCGTCCGATTACACGCGATACTTGTCCATCCGTGTCCGATATTCACGAGCCTAGAAACAGATGATAAGGATATTAAAATAGGTGTGTATTATCGTTAAATGATATTACGTAAGGTAAGGGCGCAACAATCGAGATTAGGGAAATAGATTATTTATTGGATAAAATTTGGAATATTTATTTTAAATTGCGATGTTATAAAAATATTTGGAAATATTGGAATTGTTCAAATTCTATTTGCATTCATTGAAGATTTCGAAGCAGAAAGACAAAATAAAATCTTTTCTATTCGCACTATTTTTGATATCGTGTATTGACGAAGCTAATCTAATTAATAGGTTATGTCTATATAAGAGAATAATCGTTGTCGTAAACTTTTTACGAAAAAACGCTTCCTATGGAAGTTCTTCGTTAACTTTAATTAATTTAATTCATTGAAGATTTCGAAGCAGAAAGATAAAATAAAATCTTTTCTATTCGCACTATTTTTGATATCGTGTATTGACGAAGCTAATCTAATTAATAGGTTATGTCTATATAAGAGAATAATCGTTGTCGTAAACTTTTTACGAAAAAACGCTTCCTACGGAAGTTCTTCGTTAACTTTAATAAAAATGATCGTATCAAGATTTTCGTAGGCGATTGTACACACTACAGAATTAATCCCAGAAGGCGGATTAATATTAATAGCTGTTTGATTGCGCGAATATCAACACTTGTCCACCTTCGTGTTCACGTATACCACGATTACCGTCGTACATTTTTCCAAACAATCCTCCCCCTCCCCTTTTTTCAATAGCGAATGAACTATGTATGTAGATGTTCTATTTTAGAAAAACGCATCGCGAGAAAATAAATCTTCCTGGTTGCCGATGAAGCAATTACGATAGAAAGTGTGACAATGCATGCTGTACACTGCAAGCCTGTTCAACGACTGTTGTTGCATCATTGAAATGAATTTACGTAACAACGGGAGAAGAAAGGATTAGACGTCGAAAGGGCAAACGGATATCAATTATTTCAATTATATCTATCTTTTTATCTACGCGAAAATAAACGTTATCGTATTTCTGAAATCGAATTCGATACATCGACATCTCGAATTGTTTAGTTAATTAATCGATTATTATATTTATCGATCGATCTCGATTTTCAATAATCTCGAATTTCGATATATCTTTTTTCCGATATCATCGAGCACACTTTCAATTCGAATTAAAATCTAAAATTCTCGAATGCAAATAGAGATGTAAAGATCGAAGAAGGGAAGAATCGATTGCGAAATCGAGGGAACGAGAGAAGGCGTAAAAAAAGTGAGAAGGAAAAGGCGTTCCATTTCTTTTTTTTTTCTTTCTTTCTTTCTTTTTCCTTTTCCTGTGTTTATCCCCATATTTATCGAAACGCGAACACACGAAGAGAACACACGGCGCGTGGTACTCGAAAAGGGAAAGGGGACTCGGAAAGTGGAACACGGCCAATGGCCCGATGACCCCCTGACACACATTTCACGGCTCGTCTCAACGAAAGTGAAAAGAATCGACCGATTTACGATCGTCAGATTTACGGCATACGTACGTACTTGACGAATTGTATTTCATCCAATTACGTGTCGTCTTCTTTAAACGAGGATCGTAAAACACATATATATACGTATCGAAATATACGATTATTGCGCGACGAAAATTATATTCGTTCCTTCCTCCTGATCGATATACTTACTCGATGGCGTTTACGAGCCGACTGTACAAATCGTCTCTATAAATTAGTTTTTCTCCACGCGTGTTATGTTTACATACACATAATTCCGTTTGACACTGGGAAGTATCGTTATAGTACGTTTATACGTAGTGAAAATAAATAAATACGTATAATCGATTCACTTCTCTCTATAATTCAACAATAAATTTTGAACAAAAGAATTTTTATATTATTTACAATGTATATATTATTTTAAAAATAATTTTATTGTAATTTTATTGTAAAAATAAAAAACGTAAAGATGATTGTTTATACAAATTTGATACTGTTAATGTTAATCTAAGTTAACATATCAATCTCTAATCAGATGCATGCATAAAATACTTATTTTATTAATAAAATACTTCTCACAAGGATACAAGCGGTAAATTCTGTAATATCGATCGAGAAACGTTCCTTGAATACGAGAATGTACGAAATAATACGAAAGAGTTGTAATAATAAATATATGCATTGATATTATCGATGAAGCAAGAGATTTTCATGAGAGAAAGAATGCAGTTTTAAAAAAATATTGGACAAATTTTACCGAAGAAACAAACAAAACTTCTCTCTAATGGGGTAAAATTGAAATGCAAATCGTTCACAGCGTGAATCAATTCGAGAAAATAACCGCAAAAGGGTCTGTGTTCCATGCGGTGAAAACTCGGTTTCGAGATGTTGCCCTTGATGCCTTATAACTTTCGTAAACATCTCTAGAAAGTGTCGCTTTCTCTAGAATAAAGATGATCCTTGACGAATCATCGGAACTACTTTGGTCGACCCTCGCCTTGACCAAGGATGTTCAAATAACAAGGCGATCGTTATAAAATTGGTTAAAGCGAAAAAAGGAAAATCTCGTTCATCTTTAAAAGCAATCGATTTAAAGTTTTTTTTTTTTTTGCAAAAATAACGAAGAATATCTTCGATTTCGACTCATTTCTCGAAACAACGACTTGAAAGTTTTTGAATAATTTGAATATTTTTTTTTATTTTATTATTCATGCATGTAGAAGGCTATTTTTCTACATTCATTATTTTATTAGTTTGTAATTGTCTCCTAGCACTTTTTATAACAAAAAAAATGAATAAATTATACTATCTCACGGGATAATAATTTCCAACAAACATTTTCCATGAAAAAAGGCAATGATTCGTGATAATGAACAAATAAATAAAAACTCAAGTTTGTATTTAAAAAGTTTCATATTTCCTTTTTTAATTTTTAAAAAATTAATCGATTATCCAGTGACTGGATCTATTTTACGTCGTAGTAAAAGTTTATCAAAAAAATATTTATCATATCGAAATCGTAAAGCGAAACTAAAAGAACAATCTCAGTATTGATGACAGTCCTTGGTCAACAAAAGAACGGTCACGTTATTGAGCTTGGATTAGCCCTATCCCTGCTTATCGTCTCGATATCCTTGGCTCTGTTTTTAGCCTCAAATCGCGGGCATAGGTGCACTTTGGCCTCTGTTTTACACACACACACATATGCTCACATATTAAATCCGGTATATATTAACCACTTGAGTAAACGAGCACGTAACTTCGTTGTTCTAACAATAACCGCAGCGACGCGCACACGGAAATCGAATCCGGTTTTGGTAACTGGAATGGCACAACGCACAATTTTTCGCCCACCATCTCGATACTATTTTCAAAGATTGCGAGAACGATTGATTATAAGAAACGTGTAAAAACGATTATTCGTATTCCCATTTTATTTTAATTATCGTGATGTCATTCGTAGCAATTTCAAAAAAAAAAAAAAAAAAGGTCGATCAAATTAGCAAATTAGATTCACGTGACGGTTTATGAATATGTAAAGCGCGATGAATCGTGTGATATTTTTAGTACAGTGTCACTTGGAAATAAAATGAAACCAATTGTTAAAAGTTTCATTCAACTTACTTTCTTTAATCTTCTAAAGAAAAGATTAAACTCGCCGCGAAATTTCAAAAAAAAAAGAAAAACCCAGCTCGCTCCTTAAAGCGCCAAGAGTTTTCAAAAAAAGAAGATTGTCCAATCTGTAATTTTTTAATTCTCGTTCATAACGAAAGAGTGTATAGAATAAGTATACAACAGCGAATGGTATAACAAGTGGCTAGATTTTCAGGGAACGATCAAGTTTCCTTGAAGTCACGCTTAATAATAGACATTTTCGATAGTCGTATATGCCATTGGTGTGTATACCAAGTCGAATGACGACTGTTCATTCAGGAAGCCAACTATTTCCGATGCCCAAACGTGTTTCCCCGATACGACACAGATACGAAAATCTGGCTGTGGCGTGGTAACCACCGGTTATTAATACCGACTAAATAACAGGTTGACCTTCGACGGATACGTCTCGATGTATTTTAGCGCCAGGACGGGAAACGGCGCGCGTCGGGAGACACACGGCGAGACACAAGCACCATGAAGAGCAGGCAGGATTCACGTACCATTGAACGTGGTCCAAAAATCCTTCGTTAAACGATCGAGTAACGCGTCTGCATTCGCTTTGTCATTGTCGTCGTTGCAAAGTGACGGCAGTTAAAACCGACAATGTGACACGAGAGAGAGAAAGAGAGAGAAAGAGAGAGAGAGCATCGAACATTTTTACGAGGCATTGTTGGAAAGATCGCGCCCATTATACGACGATTCGCGTCGCAAAGGTGCGTCAAGAAGTTTTAGGGCCACGATTTTTATTTACGGAGATAAATTCGAAAAGGCGTCGATTACTTTTATTTTTTTTTTACGATGAGTCTATAAATCTTGTAATTTCGATCTCGAAAGGAAATGATATGGATCGGTTACGTCTTGAATGACGTTCGATGATATTTGGATGTTAAAAGAAACGTGATACGATTTTCACCAAGTATATATTTTTACAACGTTTTCGAAATTTCGTAACGCGCCATCGCCTTTTCGAAATGATTCAGAGCGTCTAAAGAAAGAGTCGAACGATTCTGAAACTTTGGAATAAATTCGACGTAACAAAGAGGAGACGGTTCAAGGTTTCCCTTTGGCGTGTCTAAAGAAAAAAAAAAAAAAAAAGAAAAAAAAAATGTATATTTTTGCCACGGCGCGTTTCTTTTAGAGAAGAATACAGGCAAAGAAATAATACGGAGCAACGGAGGTCGCAAATCATACCGAGTTACCCTTCGACCCCTGGAAATCCATTACGAGATTTCAGGGACGAATGTTTGAGAGTATTCAACGCCGTAACGGTTCAGGAGGGAGCAATAAATTATCCGACAGTCAAGAGGACCCGATGTTTTCCCAATTTCAGGTGTAGTCGATTATGAGAGGAAAGTCAGGATTGTAAACGTTTAACAAAGGCCTCCTCAAAGCTTTACAATTCTTTGAAAAATTATATTTCGTGACAATGGGCACTAACAACCGTTATTTACGAATCGTCTAATCTAACTGGTAATTTCAAATCTCAATCAATTAATCTCACAAAATTATTCGTTAAATTTTCATATATTTGGTGGTCAAGTTGAAACGACAATTAATCATATTAAAAATACTCTGGTCCCGTGATATTACAAATGCAAATCAAGAAATACAATTCTATTTTTATACGAGACACAGTCTCTTCTTTGTATCCTACTTCGCAGTTCGCCACTTTAGAATCATCACATGATCAACGAAGTATACCCTGAACAACTTTAAAACGATCCTAAAATCGATCGACACGTATACGCTTTGAAATTCAAAAACAAACTATGTGTTTCCCTGCCACCACGAGCCAATAAAATCGATGATATACCTTTTCTACGTTCTATCTGCTTTATTTTCTACCGTGTAGTTCTCGACGAAGGTCGAAGTCGCGTCCGCCATTCAACAACCGATCTCCTCATCCTCTTCCAGCCTTCCGCCTTCCATCTCTCTATCTCTGTTCCGCGTATAACTCCCCCCCCCCCCTTCTTCTCGCGATTTGCAGTTCGTGGAGCGTGCTTGGAACAACAATCGAATGCGGAAAAATTCTTGACAAGGCCGCGGATGTCAAGGACATCTAGCGCACACATAGACGTCGCACCTGACTTACACGTTACAATGGACCACAATGCTGTAGAATCGTTCTTCTTCTTTTTTTTTTTTTCTTTTTTTCCTCAGTCAAAACCAAGAGTCTCTCGTCGTTAATGAACGATTGAACGTTCTTCCAATCCTCGTTTACAATGTATTACCGCTATTATTCGTTATCTTTCCTTTGTTACTCGACGAAGGTTGTCCATGCGCTGCTCGCAATGCTCGAAAGCGGAATTTTCTGCGATAATCGGGATAAAACTCGCGAAAACAGGAATAAACACGATATTCGATACTTATCGATGTAATGATATACTGCTGGAAAATTACCTGATTATCCTTCATATTCTGATTTTAATAAGATATATTATTTACAATATTGAAATTATTTCTTAATTGATGTATTTAACTATGATTAAAATGGTAGATAGAAATTGTTGGATTTCTTTATGGTTGCTTGAAATGTAGAAATTGATAGTAATCTGACACCTCATCAAAAAAAAAAAAAAAAAATATCAATTACTCAGTGT